ATTCCTGTGCAGTTTATTTTAATGTTTAATTATCCTTACTTTCAGAAAGCTTTTTTAATAGCCTGGTTTACTGCACTTAAAATGTATTACATGTTATCCTTATTCCTTTCCTGTTTACAGCATCTTACATGCTTGCACGCAGACAACAGCACCTAACTCCGGATCCCAGTCTTTCTTCACATGTCGTGACAACCAGGCTCCAAACCATTCTTGTTACTCTTCCAATGCGTCCATTTGCACAGCACCTGCACAGTGAGGCAGTGCTTTGTATCAGCTGGCTAAGGCAAAGATGTACTTTAAGTCAATAACTCAGGCTAGCTCTTTATCCCCTACGATATTTCAGTGGGCAACGTCAACCACCCTTTTCAAAGCAGCTTTTGAAAGTCCTCACAGAATTTTTCCTTCAACCCTTTATGAAGAATCCTCAAAGCTATTACTACTAAAACTCTCCAGTTTTGGTAACTGTATATCAGCACATTGTCCTAACTCATTTGGCTTTGGTTGGTTGTACTGCCTTTGGCTGTAATAGAAGGCAGGTAGCGAGGTAACTGGGATGAGTTTCCTCATATACATTAAGTCATAAATACTTGATATGTCACTTCCTATCGGGCTGCCAGAGCTGAGGCTACAGAGCAGCAGTCCATAGTCCATCAAATTATTAAATAGCAATTGCTAGTAAAGTAGCAAGCAGTCCTTCAAAAATTGCATTGCTTGCTTTTTCTAAACCTGAGGGGCTTCCAAATTCCTGTGCGTACACTGCCAGAATCACTCCAGTCACACCACTACAGCCCAGATGCCTCTGTGCACGTGGTTTTGTCAACGGTGGCACAGGCACTTCCATGCAGGCAGCAGCTTATCAGCAGTCATTGTGAGAGTTCAGGTGAAGCCCTCAGCTCAGGTTGCCTCTTACCGGCCAACAGGCACCGTGAAGGTCATTCATAAGTCTCTGACACGCTGAAAGAGTTTCTAGATTCTTTACTTATTTCAAGCTAGTCTTAAAGCCTAGTTTTATTTTACCTCTTCTCTCCATGCTCAGGTATCGAACACTGAACGCTGTAATTCTTAAAAGCACAAGAAATAGGTTGCTCAGCCTGGAGAAGACTCGACTCCAGGGAGACCTTATAGCAGCCTTCCAGTATCTGAAGGGCACCTACAAGAAAGCTGGAGAAGGAATTTTTACAAGGGCATGTAGTGATAGGACGAGTGGTAATGGCTTCAAACTGGAAGAGGGGAGATTTAGAATAGATGTTAGGAAGCGATTTTTCACTGAGGGTGGTGAGGCACTGGAACAGGTTGCCCTGAGAAGTTATAGAGGCCCCATCCCTGGAGGTGTTCAAGGCCAGGCTGGATGGGGCTTTGAGCAACCTGGTCTGGTGGGAGGTGTCCCTGCCCATGGCAGGGGGGTTGGAACTCGATGATCTCTAAGGTCCCTTCCAACCTAAACCATTCTATGATAGGTTCTCAGGAGAGTTCTCTCCATTGATACCAGGACTTACTTTTCCTGGCATTTAGCACTAACATATTTATGAGCTATTTTGAACCTGTAATGTCCTTTAATCACAACATTTAAAGCTTGCCTTTCTTTACTTTGTCCCTACTTAGTCAATGACCTTTCACATTTTCTCATTATTTGCCCTGTTACACAACACAACTTTTCCTTAAATCACTGAGAAACCTCACTATTTACAACTCTAACCTTTCTGCACAGTTTGCACTTGCATCCGTAACACTCGTGTTAAAGAGCTGCCAGTTTTTCCTATTTGCTGTGGTTAAGATCCTACCAACCAATTCACTTGGCTCATCAGACACCTTGTATTCCTCTAGTCCATTTTATTTCACTCATCTTCCTTCACTCTGGGTCATTCTCACCCAAATGCTTTCTTCACCTTCACTCAGAATCACCTTTTAATACTTTGTTTTCCTCTTTACCTGGAATAAATACATTCCAAGAACTCATGAGACACACTCCATGCACAGATGCACTGCTTTCCTCAGAATATGGCCAGGCAGCACGAAATGCCACAACCATGAAACCCTGCAGCACTTCTCAATCCCACAGAGCTCCTAGACACAATTCTCCACTAAGACATCCTGGTTTGACATTCCGTAACATACCCTCTATATGACAGCAAGCTTGGGGTTTTTTTCCATGCCTTTCCCCGCCCCCCCCCCTTTTTTTTTTTTCCCTTGTCCCCCCCTCCTTTTTTTCTTTTCCTCTCCTTTCTCCAGTAGTATCCCTCCTGCTTTTTTAAAAAACAAATTTATCTCCCCTCAGTATTTTAAGCCCCAAGCCCTGTATCAGTATTATGACCTGACCCAGCAACTTCCAGTCTCATAGAGGTGCAGGTTAAGCAACATCAACCCATATGAGAGCAACCAGAATGTTTTCTCTGTTAATTTTAACTAGGAATTAACTATTCCTACATATGGAAAACTTGGGCAATACTCACTGAATAAATGTCTTCATTGTCTCAGTTAAGGTTGTCCAGCACTTAAATCAACTTTTATTTCTTTTTCCTTCAGCTGACAAATAGCTAGCATTGATCATACTTGTTAAAAGTTGAAGAATCCTGAAGAGTCCCCAAAAGCATTTCTTATGTATTAAAATAGCAAGACGAGGTGCATTTGGTACCCGTGTATCTAACATTCAGAAACGTTCACTCATCATCAGCAGTGACTCTGTAGCTTATTACGTGTTACAGAATTTTCTTTCTCTTTAGACAGAGTATGTAAAGCTACCAAAAAAAAGTTGTAACGAGGAAATAACTATAGTTGAAGAGATGACCTAACTTTCCGAAAAGAAAACACACTTGGATTCCTCAAGATGAAAGAAAATCATGGATCATCTTGACAACTAAGGAGTATTTCAAAGCAGACTTGAACTCAATACCACTATCTATAAAACTATTTGTCCCATAAAAAGCCACCTAGAACAGACCAGGCAGAAAAAAGTGAAGAAAAACAGTAACATTTGTTCTTTCTCTGTTGTTCAAAAACACCATGCCTGGCAGCTAAGCTTTTCTGCTAATACCTGCTGCGAAGACTTGCTTAAACCTCGCTGAGATTTTCTTCACCACAGGAGACGAGGCCCCTCACCCACAACACAGAAGAAACTTTTATTATTGCCTGTCTTCATTGCCATGATGCTTCTTTCCTTGGAATATAATGATTTGCTATTGGATGACAGACTACTCAGGGATGCCTCAGGAGTTAACTTTCCCCACTTAATTTTATATATGCAGAGCATTTTCTGAGGCAGAAACTAGCTATTTCAGAGTGTGTTTAAAACTGCCCTTCAACCTTGCAACCAGCCATACCGAACTCTCACTGCATATTCAACAAGCTTTACGCAAAACAGAAAACGGGAAATAAAATGATGCTTGCCAAAAGTAACTATTAATGCTGGGCTGCCAGCCAGCCATTCCATGAGCTCAGTACTTCCAATGCAAATGTGAATATCTGCAATATTGACTTAACTCACATAGGTTATTATTTAACTCTTAAGAAAATCCAGTGTAGCAGTTGTGAGAATTGAAATAAAATCTGTAATAAGATTTAATAACTTGTTCTTAAATGTTAAAATTTCCTCACACTAATGCACTTTATTTATTCCCTTCGAACTGCGCAAGCCCTATATTCCCTTTTAAAAATGTCTTTAGATGCCACCATTTGCTTATACAAATTCCAGATCTCATCCCGTTAAAAATACTTTTCAAAATAAATACATTTAACAAGTAACTGTTTCAATAAGGCAGAAAACAAATGCTTTTTTTAAAAGTCTCATTTATTGTTTGCCTCTTATGTTCCCACACTGCATAATCATACATTGAAAATTGCTGCTGCATGACTAAGGGAAGCCACACACTAGGGAAAAAAAAAAAAAAAACAACAAAAAAAACCCCACCAAGTAGTACATGCTGAACACACAGCATAGGTAAATTGCAGTTCCACTTAAAAAACCCACCTACACTTGCATTGATTTATTTTCCTGTTTCTTATGGTTAAAACCTAGTTCAGGAGGGGAAAGGGGAGGTGGGATGAAAAATGTCCTCCCCCTTTCAGGGGCTGCTCAAGTAATTTGTCATGTTTGGTTCCTCCTCACAAAGCCAGAGCCATGACAACCTCACTGTGAGGTTATGTGAGGTATTTTATCATTACCTCTACCTTTCAAGCCACTGACATAGAAAAATAAACCTAAGCAATGTATTTATATAGACACACTCAGCCCCTGCCCCGCAAAATCAACATAATTAATTACAACTGCAACAGCAGGTTGATTGGCAAGGTCAGCATCAAATGACCTGCCTGCACCACAAGAGAGCTACCATTACCAAACTGGATAAAAACACTTGCAGTAGGTACGTTAAGTTTGCTGTTAGCCAGTGTACAAAGTAGCTGTGTAAATGTACTTACATTCACATAGAGCTGTTGAAAGCAGTGCTTCTGCAACAGTCAAGGAAAAAGGTAAATTATGTTTGAGAGGAAGGTAATAATCAGCCAAAGCCAAGTAGTTAATTTAAATACTTCATCTTGAACAGCAACCTCAGAAGGCACACAAAAGAACGCAAGACAGCTCAGTCAGCCTTCAATGACTCATACAGTAACACACTGTTTCTTTCTCAAGATATAGGGAGAATTCTTAAAAACATGACTGGAAGATGAACATCTTGGTTTCCTTTACTGGTCCCCCTACCATGTCTTTGCAGATTACAAAGTACAAAAGACTGTACACATATGAAGAACGGCACATAGGTATTACATTATCTCAAAGAGCAGTATGAGAATTTATTCAATCCTATTTTGGTCTTCCAACTAATCCCAGAACTAGACATTAATCAGTTAATATTGAAGGCTGACCTGCCTCGATCTGTATTTTACAGCTACACAGAAGCATACATATTCCCTCCCACACACCCCATCGACTTCACCTCTTAGAATGAGCCTCATTTCAGACGAAATTCACCCTGCACAGAGGTACTGCCCACTGCTACAGATGAGGCCAAACAGTATCCTGAATGGCACAATCAGCATTTCCAAATAGCAGCAACAATACAATAGACAGGTTACTCAGAAGTTGAAGGCATTTACTAAGTTCCTGGGTTTTTGCATGAATGCCATGTTGCTTTCTATATTGATTTAAAAAAAAAAAGAAAAAGTATTTCATTTTAAGCTGTTTTACCAAGGGCAGAGTATTACTTTTTGACTGTCCTTGGGACTTAGGATTCTCCTAGCACTACAACAGGCCCCCCCCATTTTAAATCATATGAAAAGTTGCAAATCAGTTGCTAAGAATCATGCAAAAAGCCACTTGCAGCAGCCCCATCATACACTATTGGGCACAAAGAATGGGAGTGGTTTCTATTAGTATAACCCATGCTTCCCCCCAGCCCTGAAGTTCTCACATTCAATTATTTCTTAAAAAAAAAAATAATCAAGCTTATTCTGTTACAAAGTGCAGTGTAAGTGTATCAGAGGAACCATTATCTGAAACAAGTTTTCAAAGAAAAGAGGCTTTCCCAAAGCTTTTATGTAATAATTTCAACACAGACAGAGTAAGTATGTTTATTGTTTTACAGCAGAATGCCCCAATTTAAGAACAAAATTGCTAGATGTTCAGCTGTGCAAAATGGTACATAGTGCTTCAGTACAAGTGGAAAAGAACATGATTTGTTAGCAAATACTTTCAAATACAATTTTATGGTCCTAGAAGATAGGACTTGAAACCGGGGACTGATCCACAGGCAAACGATTTTTTCTGCCTAAATTGGACCCAGCCTCTTTGGACCCAGAACCAACACCACTCATTCCTCATTGCTGGGGAAAAAAAAAAAATAATCGCCACACTGAATTGCCAGGTTCAGTGTCTTTGTGCATGTTACTGAGAAATGGATCAGTCATCTACATCAGTTTCTAGCCCCATCTACAAATATCATCTGGCTCCGATAAATAAGACTCACAGGAATTTCTTGAAGGTCAATGGTCCATAATGGTAGTTATTCTACATGATCTGCTCAACTTGATTTCCAATTCTAGTTAGGCTGCTTAAATGACTTTCTTGAATTCATCGTACAGCACAAGCACAAAAGCACCCCCCATGCCTCTGAGAACATTAGACCATGCACCCTTGAAGAAGGCCTTTCCTCCCTCATCCCTTGCAATCTTCCGCCAGCAGTCAATTGTTCCAGAGTACATGATATCAGCTGTAGAAAAAGAGCAAAGAGTCATTTTTAACTCCTATAACTGCATCCAAGACATTTTGAGCAACTGCCCTGTTTCACTTCTCTAGCTACTTTGTGATGCCCCAAACCACATTTTAAGACTGTAACAAAACACTAGTTCAGGCAACAGAAAAGCTTCTTAGCTATTAATAGCTAAGCAAGCAGATAAGTCAAAAATAAAAGTGTTACATGGTTCTTTTTGGCAATTATACTGTTCCCTAATTGTCTTAATTTAATTTGTCACTGCAAACAGGTAGTCCATTTGCTCATTTCATATTCTATAAAGAAAAGTCCTCAGCATAATTCCTGACAAACACCACAAATTATGACCCTACTGCATTTCCTCATATTGTTTAAATGTAATACAACTTAAATCAGATTTATGGAACGAGGAACTGCAAGTGCTGAGGGATGTCTATTAGGAAAAAAAACAGTCCCTCTTGCTAAAACTGTTTCAAGAACTGCACAAATCAACAGCCCACCTCCTTTGCGTCCTGACTGCATCATCATCCTACGCCGCACTGTATCAAAAGGATAGGAGACCACACCAGCCACAGCAGTCACTGTCTGGGCAATCATCCAACTGATAACAATATGAGTATTTCTGGGATCTGGGAGCATGCCTGCAATAAAAAAAAAAAAAAAAGAAAGTAATTAGCTTTTTATCTTTTACTTCCTCCTCCAGTTTACTCACTCCTTGACAGCTACTTTACTGGATGAAGTATTATGAAACGTTGCAAAGCCATACTTTGAAGTTGCACCAAGATACTTGATTAAATTTAAACATGCTGAAGCACTATTAAAAGAAAGTCAAGGAAATTCACAGGATTTTCTTCACAGTAATCAAAACAGGTAACACTTAGGCACCAAAATTCTTTTCAGACTGGAATGTGAAGAGATCTAACTATTGCCTACTCTTTTTAGAAATAGTGTCACTAAAATAAGTCATTGTCGCTGTGAATTATATTAAACTGTAAACTAGCATCAATGACCTCTATGCCCAAATGTCAAGCTTAAAAAACAAGTGCTTTGTAAAAGCACAACACTCAATCCCATTCTGCTAACCACACTTTAATTGCTTTAATGTAACTACAGTAATGCACTGAAGAAAAAGAGAACTTGTAATTGTGCATGGTTACCAACATTCTTTACTGGCATTAGGAAAAGCTCCTTTAAGGACCAGTACAAAACCAGGAGTATTTTAAAGTAGCCTGCTACCATCAATACATGCCCGGCTTTTGCCTTGAACACTGCAGTGTCACTGATGTTGGCACCGATAACCCCTTCCACCTCCATGCTCACATAAGCTATAGTTACAACAGACAGACACAAAGTAACATCCAGGAACACACACACACACAAAAGACAATACAATTCTGGGAATCAGTTAATCAGATCCTCTCTGAAATTTTACCTTTTGCTGTATCATAGATCCCAAAGTAGGCAGCTCTATAGATGATGATGCCTTGCACAGAGACATTGAATCCTTGATACAAGCCACGCAGACCATCAGACTTGGTAATTTTGACTAGACAGTCCCCTAGACCAGAGAATTCTCTGTCTGCACCAGC